TCACTGTGTGGCAATTTCAAAGCCTCTTACTTCTCTGGGCCTTACTTGCCACATCTGGAAATTAACGATTAGATTTGATGGGACCTCCCAAGCAATAGACAGGATCTGCTCATCACAATGGCAGCGAGACTGAGGGGTGTCCATGCCCGGGAGTAGGAGAAGCACAGGTTGGCTGTATTCCCTTCTTACTCACCCCAGGGGGGTGGGGGTGGGGGGCTTTGATTTTCAGCGACTTCAATAGGCCCAGAGCAAGGGCAAGGTTTTGGAGAAAACCTCTTTGGGAGAGGGCATGGATCCCTAGACTGTGCAGCCCAGGCCTCCTCATGTCCCTTTGACTCCTCCTCCAGCTAAAACCTCCAGCTTATCCACTTCCTAAAGATCATCACAGAGGCTCCACAACCTTCCCTTTTTAAAAACTCTTGCTGATGGAAAATTCTTCCTCATACCTAATCTAAGTCCATCTGCTGCAATTTCTGTCTATTTTCTCTCGTTCAATCCTTACTGGAGATGGAGAACAGCTGGTCGCCATCCTCCATATAACATCCCCTCCTAAACCAAAATCAGTTATGACATCACCCCTCAGCCTGTTTTTCTTCTGGCATAACATACACCATTCCTTCCGACCTGCCTTCATGGATTCTAACTCTGAAAGCATCGCCGGTCACTGTGGCCCACACTGAAGGTAGCTCTGCAAGCTCCACATCTTTCTAAAGCTGTGGCATCCACAGAGAGCTGTAGGGCTCTGTAGCAAGATTGAGAGAGAAGGTCAGAGTACAATGAGAACATAGTCCAAGCCCCTGGCTTTATCCATAGAGGGAAACTGAAGGTCAAAAAGGGTAAGTAAATTCAGTGTCCAAGGTCAAGTCTCAGGGATCAGGCTCCAGGCACTAGACATCAAATACTGCCACAAAGCCCTGAGTGGCCACAGTGTGTCCTCAATGCGGGTAAAAGCGGAACTACCTTTAATTGAAAAGCAAAGAGCCACGGTCTCCCAGTGTGCTGTCTATCCAAACCATCTTCCCAGTCCCACTAGCAGATGTCTGAATTTCTACTACGCACATCTTTGATTTCCATGAAAAATTCAAATACTGGACTGGGGGTGTAGCTCAGTGGTAGAACACTTGCTCAGCATGAGTGGGCCCTTGTTTTAATCCCCAGCATCACAAAATTGTAAAAAAATTAAAAATTTAAAAGATTTCTCTAATTGGCAATACCGTTCACTGTTCACACCTTAGTATGAATGAGTGGATTTAATCTTTTCCAACTATTGATAGATTTAAGGGTGACAAGAAAACAAAGAACAAAGAACCTGGGAGAATGACAAACCAGTGGAGCTGCTTGCTAATGTTTCCAAGGTCAGTCAGGGCTGGATGTGGGGCTGTGGGAGGACATAGGCCTCAGGAGGGTGGAGCAGCAAAGCCTTGTGCATGGTAGGAATCCCCCAGGCTTTGATATATCTGCCCTGTCTGCCTCACACAGGTCACCTGCAAGGCCCCAGGTGCTCTTGCAAGGTCTGCAGTAGAACAGAACTTGGTGAAAGGATTACCTCATTGCTCCCACCGGGCTGGATCCCATGAATATTCCACAATTCCTAAAGTATTCTGCTGAACTCTTTTCCCAAGTAAGGTGAGCAGGGCACCTAAAAGCAAATCTCAACCCGATGGTGCCCTTACATGACAGGAAAGAAGAACCAGAGGGAAGGAGGAAGGAGAGGTGTAAGAATGAATACGATTATTCAGATACCTGCATCAAGGTGAAAGGAAGGGGCAGAGGAAGGAAGGGGCACGTGAGTATAAGGAAGCATGAGTCAGATGAACTATTTGCTTAAAACTCTGCCCATAAAATTTTCCTAAGTGAAGAATGGAGGGGGACAATAACAGAGTGTGTTGAATACATTGCAGAGCCTTGATTTCAAAACAGCCTTTTTCCCACTTTGAATAAATAGGAGCACATTGTGCTCCAATCTCATCAACTTTCAGGGATGTTCCAGACTGCTTCAAACCTCCAGACACACCTTCCCTGAGGATCACTGGGGGAGTCAGACATCCACAAAAGAAAAAGGAAACACTGTGACAGCATTTACCAAAACACCTAACCCAATCAATGTGCTTATTTGATTTACCCAAAACCACAAAATTAGATTTTAAAAGAGAAGACAAAAAGGCACTTTTCTGATAAAAATTACAATATGTTTTCCATCTTATCCAGGGGACAGTTTTCTTTAACAGCAAAATTGGCACAAAATGACAAGAGCAAATCAGGTTGGCAAAGAGATTATTTATTGATGTGTGTAGGACAAAAAGACTTGACAGAGAGGATGATGAAGATAGAAGGTCGGGAAAGTAGGGATCAGACTTTTACTTGCAAGGTAAATTGCACTGGGCTTGGAAAAGCAGGAGATGCAACCTCTCTACCTACACCACAGTGATCAAATGAGAGAAATCCCAGTTGGGCCAGTTGGGGAAAGGAAAAAAAATGCTAGATTTCTGAATGGTGCTTATATACAGGGTCCTGGCTAAAGCTATCATGTTTGATAAAATGAGAAGTAACAAATTTAATTTCCTGAACATCAGTCGGTCCCTTCATACACAGAAAGGCACCCAGCTTCACAAGGAGTTAATCAGCCTGACACCAGCAATTAAATTCTCCAAACTGGATCACAGCAGAGACACAGGATCCTGGTTTTTCACACCCCAACCCACCCAAGGTGAAATGGCAATGATGGTGTTTTATGTTTTGTCAATTATTCTTCAGCTCCTATATATATATATGTATGTATTTTTTTTTAGCGTAAGTTGTTATTTTAATGATCTCTGTTCCAAATGGGGAAATACAAGGAAAAGGAATGAGGAGGAGGAGAGGGAGAGAAAAAGCAAGTGCTCCAGCGTGTCCCACTTGTACTTTTCAAAGCTCCCTCTGCTCCCTCCCCCCAGCCCAGCCTTTTTCCTCTGTGCATGAGTCACCGCTCAGGAGCTGTTTTAAATGCCTTACTTTTAATGTTCTCTATCACTGTAGAAATCCAGCAGATCAGCATCAGTTGAAGGGGTCACTGGTTCTGCTCTTGCTTCCTGGTCCTAGACACCCCTCAAACTCAAAAGCATTTTCTAATTTATTACTGTCTTCATGAAAACCAAGGGGTCTGCCGTCAAGACCACCGTGGGCTAGATGTTGCCTCTTCTGGGCTCCCTGGGGGTCGCATGCCCTAGACAGACCACAGAGGGTGAAGTCCTTGACCAAATGTTAGTTTCCATTCCAGGTCCCCAGAACACAAAGGAATCACACTGTGCAGAGCTGCAAGTTTGGTTTTGTTTACTGTCAGACAGCATGTGCAGAAGAGAAAGCTGACTGCATCCTGACCTACAACAAAAAGTCAGACAGCTATTTTTTCAAACCATTGTGAGTAGAGCTTCCATACTAACAGTTCCCACCCAGAATAGCTGCCTAAGAGAGGTGGAGGAGAACCTGTTGTGTGCAGGTGATGAAAGGAAATAAGAATTTAAAAGGTGAAAGTGATTTGTGAAGCTAGAGAACTGATACCTGATACCGTCATTTGCACCTCGGCTAGATGGGTGTCATAAGGGAGAAGTGTTGCTTGAGAGTCCCCCCCCAGAACATCCTCTTGCCAGGGCTCCCCAACTTTAGGTCCACGACAGTAATCAAAGGAAGAAAATTCAACATAACCCTCCCCTTCAAAAGCTTGCGGACTTGTAATATTAGCCAAAGGCTGTCCACTTCAGAGTATACATCAGGTATGATGGAGGACATACCTGGTAAAGTACTGTGCAGCGTGAAAACAGGAGCTGTGTGAGCAAATGCAGGAAAGAAGTTCAAGTCTAAGTGCATCACCTTCTCCCTCACAGGGACACCACTTCCTAAAGGTTCGTTTTCCTAACATCTCCCACTGGCAGAAGCTGGAGAAAAAGAGTTTTCCACAGGACCCAAAGTAGGTCTCAGAGCAAGGGAGGCCCTTATGGTCCTACAATGTAGAATGCTCAGAGATTATGCTGGGCTGAACCAGCTACCTGCCATGGTGAGCTTTTCTACTTGAAGAACAGTTATTAGCAGCAGTATGGATGGTGACTTCAGCACCATCTTTCTGCACCTGCGTACCTAAACAACCTGCGCACCTATAAAGAGGCAGCCCTGAACCACTTGTCCCTTCTACCATCCTCAGCTCACAGAGCTGTCAGGATGCTCAAGGATGGACACTTCTCTAATAAGGGTGTAAGCCACGCATGGGATAAAATTTAGCTCCATCCCCATTTTGGGGGGACACACCAAACCTGGAAAGTCTGTCAGAGTTTCGGGGAGCTAATCAATGAAGCGATTCTCTTCCTCTGACAAAGATTGTGTTGGTTTCTCACCAAGTTGTGCGACATGCAGATGCTCACCAGGTCAAACAGGACAGGCCCCCAGACCCCAGGAAACGTGTCTTCTCATGGAATAAAATGAATGGAGACAGAGTGGGCAAGGGGCAGAAGTGAGAAGGAGACAGAAGTTTGAGAAAAGACTGGACTTGAAGGTCACAATAGTTTGGGGAAGGCAGGTCAAGGTAATGTAGACGGGGCAGACCCTATGGCAGAACACCCAACCAACCAATCACATTTATCAGAACCATCCTTCCAATGATATGTCACAGAATCGTCGGGGGTGGGGGGGGGGGGGTCAGGAAACTGCACATCCTGGGGTCTAGCTTCCTTCACCCAGCGAACCGGAGTCTACACCTGAACCCTGCAGGCCCCCTAGCCCAAGATCAGACCGATCCCCACAGATCTGAGTGCAGCTAATTAAGAGTAGTAAACAAGCCCAGTTCTTGACAGCGCAGAAGTTTTCCAAATTGTCAGCTTGTTTTCCTCCCAACAAAAGACAGTGGATTCCTACCTTTGTCACATTTCCTCCCCTAAACTTTTCTTTCTGCAATCCCTGCGCCTCTGCTAAACTGCAAGCCACTGAGAACGGACATGCAGGAGCGGCACCCCCCGGGACGCAGGCAGAGGTACCTTTTCCGCGGAGCAGAGGGGCTGCTGCCTAGAGGCTTGCTGCCCTGCCGAGCGGTGGAAGGATGCTGTCGGGATGGAGCACGCTGAGGATTATGCGTTCCTGTCTCTGCGGCCAGACCTTTCAGCAGCTCGGACCAACTGTGCTAGCGATGCACTTAGCAATTATCTGCTGGTACCGATGCCCCGCCCTCTGCTCTTGCGATTGGCTCTCCAGTCCCGGGCAGGACTGCATTGGTCTCAGCCGACCTCACTCATTGCTTTGGCTCCTACTATTATCTAAGCCATCAAAGGAAATAATTCCATGTTTCATTGACAACCTGTAAGGCTCTCTCCGGCCCGGTGTGGGGGCAGAACTGGGAGTCCAGTGGAGGGATGGGAGGAGAGTAGGAAAAGGTGGGGGTTGGGGGAGAGAGAGAACGGAGAAGGGGGGGTGGATTGGGGAGAGAGAGAGGGGGAGAGAGACAGAGAGGGAGGGAGAGAGATGGAGCTATCAAGCAATCAGATTCTCGCTCTAGCATTTTAACTTCCACAAAACAGAGCTCATAGCAACAATTTTCTGGCCTTATTTTCCCCCTTACTGGTAAATGTTCCTGAGGGCAGAGAGAATTATAACCGTGGGGTTTCTGCTGGTGTCAGACAAGCTTTGGAAAGCAGAGCAAGGTTGAGGGCTGAAGGAATATAGTGATATTTTTACATCCTGGAGGGCATGTGAAGGTCATTTTAGATCGTTTGGGGGAACATATTATGTACCTAAACTAGAGTTTACCTGTCAATTCTTTCCCTGCAAGTCCACTCAACACCCCAACATAAGGAGGCAATTTCCCTTTGCACCCTATTCAAAGAATCTCCAAAGAGCTGTTCTTGAAGTCTATAAAAGTCTGGAGTTTTTCACTGTCCTCATGGAAATGTCCAAGGGACAGGCATCCTTGATCTAATCATTCTGCTGGGACTCTTGGTTTTGCTTATTCTGATCTGGCTTCAGTTAATTGCTTAAACTCACATTATCAGTCAAAGCAAGAAAAGAGTGGAGAACCAACCTACCAAGCAGTGGAAACAGCTTTTCCTTATTCATCAGAGAATCCTAAAGCCCAAGCTTTGATCTCCCCCCTTTAAATATATTTGTTCACTACATAGAAAGGACATTATTTAGCAACTGAACTTAAGAGGAAAAAAATAATAATTTAGAAAGGGTCTTTGAAATAAAGCTGTTAGGTAATCAAGTTCTGGGGCTGAAGGCATAGCTCAGTGGCAAAGCCCTTGACTAGAATGTATGAGGCCCTAGAGTTCATCCTATGGCACCACAAAAATAGAAAATCAAGTTCCAGATCAATCAGAAATTAGTCCTCCAAGCTTCTCGTACTGGGAACCCACGTCTTTGACAGGCTACAGTTCCATCCTATCATACAACTGTAATTCTTTCCCTCTTCTGCATCCTCAGTAGCATGTCCTCCACCACCTGGTACAGCGAGTCTCTATTTCATGTGTACATGCCTGGCTTGTCTAAGTACATTTCAAGCTCTGGAAGGACAGAGATAGTATCGTGTATATCTTTATAACTCCACAGCACCTAGCTCTCAATAAGCAGGCTGACTGATAAAACGTAATTCAAAACATAAAGTGTGCACATCTCTGAGCTTCATGGAATCATGATCTCACTATGATGCTCACCCAACTGGGTGGAGTGGGGAGGGGGCCAACCCTTGAGTCTGGGAACCAGAAATTCAACACTGAACACTAGGAAATGCTGCAGGTACAGAAGTCATACCAGGCTCTCAGCACCACTGTTTTCTCTCAGGAAAATGAGGCAACTCTTCACTCGATGTCTTTCTTCTCCCTCAGGGGTTTGAAGGAAAGGAAAGAATGGGGATACATGCTTTTCTTGAGAGGTCTCACCTCAAACATTCAGTTACTTCCACAGTGTCTTTCTAAATCATGGCCTGACAGAGAGTGACAGTATATTAGGATAGCATATTTGATACTAGGACAAGGAATGTATCAAAATATTTGTTTTCTATCTTACTACTTTATCTAGGTAAACTTCCTACAAATGTACAATGATAGAATTAAACAATTCAAGTTTAAATGAAACATTGAAAATTGACATAGTCCCAGAAAAATTGGTCCATTTAGTCATGGCATAAAAATCATAAATTACACTTCTATAATGTAAGTAGTATTATTTCCAATTCCAAGAGGAGTTTTGTTCATACTGGCCCTCCCCTCATGCCAAAATAAAGAAATAAATAAATTATAGAAACTCCCTTGAGCAACTATCAAAGGTTTGGTTGTCCCTAAAGAAAAAGGAAAACATATCAAATGATTTTCTAAAATGCTTTGTCTGAAACAGCATGTCCTTATGTGTACCTTTTTCTTTTTGAAGATGAGAGAGAGGAAAGAGAAAGAGAGAGAGAGAAAGAGGAAAGAGAGAGAGAGAGAGAGAGAGAGAGAGAGAGAGAGATGCAAACAGTTGTTTATGTCAGTGCCTTTTTAACTGCCTGGTCATAAAATATTCTCTTTGAGAGAAGGATGATCCCTTTGTGTCCCATAGATCAACTGTTTAATTCTGAGAGTTAGAGGATGCATATTAAGTATGCAGATTCCACTGGTACTTGCATTTGTATTAAATATTAGCTCCATACAATTTAAATTCATTGGGCTATGAAATGTACAGAATTCCATTTTGTGGGCAGTACTCTGACAAAGTAGCCTATTTTGAGTTAACAGTTTGAGTGTACTAGTAGTCTGAAAGGATTTGGGGGGTTCTCGTTCCTTTTTTAGTGACATAATTAAAGAAACAAAATAAAGTGTTTTTTATTATTAAATTCAAATTGAATAACATCCATCAAAACCACCATCTTTCTTGTGGGTAACTACTTGTTATAACAAGTTATCTCTAGGAGACTAGAGAAACTGGCATTTACTCGTCAGCTTATACCATTTTCTCAGTTATCATTTATTTATACCAAATTCTGTTCCTAAAAGGGAGAAGAGGAGAATAAATCTAGGCAATGCCAAGAAAGAAAGAAATGTGTGAAAACGGGAGGAAAAAAAAAGAGGGTGATTTTCAACACTACATCTTTGCTTATTGACTTGAGCCACCCAATATCATTTAAGTAGAACCATGACATTAACAGCATTTCTTTTTTAAAAAAAAATCTTCTTATTAGCTTTGGATATATGAAAGATTTTTCAGAAAACTTCTCCCAGCAGTTTCCTAAGTAAAGAAACTTGGAGGAATATACTCACAGCTTTCCCTTCTCACTGAGGGTTGTTGTAAAACTTTAGGTAATCAAACTCCCTCCCTCTCCACCTCCCCAACCCATTCCCCCAAATCAAACCTATGGAGCCAATAGCATTTCAACAAAGTGTAAGAGGAGATTTGGCTGCCAGGAGGGTGTCAGTCACCATGGACCATTCTTAATGATTTCATTAATTACTAATGAGTCTTCCAGGAAGTTGGTGTCAGATAGACAGAGCTTCATGAAGTTTCAAGACTGTAAGGAATATTTTATTATATAAAACACTCTGTTAAATAAAAACATGTGATTCTGTTCATTCAAATCATGATTGTGATTATTAGTGAGCCAGCATTGTAAATAACCTGAAAGAGAAAGACAGAGACTGAGAGACAGAAAGAGATTTGCAAGGCTAAATTGCCCATCTAAATTCTGTTTTGCTTCAGTTAAATTCTTCATAAGAAATACAGAGCTGAAAGCTGTCATGAAATATTGTCCAGCAATGCACCAATTGACAGGAGTTGGAGAATTGAATTAAGAAGGTCAGCATGCCTTCCGTGAGGCTGGCAGATCACGTATGACATGAAGCACTCTTCCAAGACAAAGGGCTGCACACATGATTGTGGCTGTTGGAACTCCTGCCAGCCAGGACCCATGTCCTAACAGAGACACTTTCTTCAAATAACTCATCAAACATATTTACAACGCCTGCCACATGTCATTGCATTTATAAAAACAGGTGATAATACTATTTCTAAGGCTATTAAGAGAATGATGGCAAATCAACCTACAAAGGACTACACAAATGCCCTATCATGGGATATTAAGCCTAGTGATAAAGCAATAATGTCTTGGCATGGGCCAATATAAATGTGATGCATAACCATCTGGATCTATTAGACCAGATGTCAGATCAGCTTTCAGAGTGATACCTAAAGATACTCAGAGCACCAGAAAGATGCTCCACTCAAAGGGCTACAGCTTAGGGCAATGAGGCCTCACTTCTTGTTGCCTAATTAATACGCAAACTCTTCCACCAGTGCACACCAGGCTGGAGAAAAGGATCTGGGTGTGTGAAGGTGTCAAATTTCAGCCCAAATTTCTTCAGATATACATATTTTATTACTCCAATCATGCAAACTATAAACTATATGCATGTTTGTTTCAGGGCATGGCTTAAAAAATAATTTACCCCAAATATTTTTGTAATACTAACTTTTCAGGAATATGCCCCAAATTTGTGGAGCATGAGGTTTGAGCAACACAAGTTTAATACTTCTACACTGCCCTTCTGTCTGACTTCCAGAGATAGCTGAAATCGGACCCCATCCCATCTACCCCACTTCATTCCACTCTCATCCTCCTCTGCTCCCATCCATTACAGACCTCCCATGGTCACATACTGTCCAACTGCCTGACTTTCCCATGGCTTCCCCAGGTTTTGCTTCCCCCACCTCCATCTTCCCCTAGTGCAATTACACTCATTCTTCAAGGCTCAACCCACACCTCTCCCTTTCTCACCATTTCTGTCTGCCAGGCTATTTTAATTTTACCCTGTACCACTCATGTTAAAATTAATTATATTCCTGTTTGTATTTTCATTATTTTTTTCTTAATAACCCACATTACCACACATTCAACAATGCTGACGGCAGCCACCACCATGTTGGACACACATTTAGAAACACCAGAAATGAAAAGCTCAAGACAAAGGAGAAGGATCTACTTCCTTCATGGCTAAAGACAATGGACTGCTTTCACAAAAGGAAAGATATCAGGTCACCCTGGCCTGTTCAAGATGTTCAGGGGAGAATGAAGTGACCCATCTTTGCATCTTTGGTTTTGTATCTCTCAGCACCAGGAAGCCGGAAAACATCACAATGGTGGCAGCACCGAATTT